CCCAGTAAAGGGCTCACCTCAGACTCCGTTCTCAAGACAGCCTGAAGGCAGACCTGGAGAGCATGGAGAGTGGGCTACCAGAGGAAGAACATTCTAGGCAGGGGGACAGCACACACAAAGGCCCTACAGCAGGTGAGCATCTGACCTGTCTGAGGAAGGTGCACGAGGCTGGAGCAGAGCGGGCAGGTGTAGGAGGGTGGCAGCAAGGCCAGATCAAGGAGTGCCTTGCGGGGGCATCCAGAACTCCGATAGGAAACCGTGGAGAGTTCTGTGCAACAAGATGTGACTTACACTTTAATGGAGTTGCAGGGTTGAGGCAAGGTGGAAACAAGGAGACTTCTCAGGGCGCTCTTGCCATGGTTCAGTGGAGCTGCCAACAGGCTGTCCAGGGTACCAAGGGCATTCTGTCACTCCTGACCCCCCCCAACATCCTGGACACCACCCATCTCATCCCCACAGCCCTCCCCCAGACAAGCAGCTGGTCCTTTATGCTCTGAGTGAGTCATTAAGGTGATCAGAGGCAGCAGCAGAGTGGCTAAGGGGACAGGTCTGGATGGCCTGGGTTTCAGCTGGGTTTCACCACTTCCTAAGTATGTGATCTCGGACAAGTTCCTTAACCTCTCTGTGCCTTGTGTCCTCATTCGTGAGATGGGGACAATAGTAGTTTCTGCCTCCTACCGGTTGTTAGAAGGGTTAAATAACACAATCCATGCAAGGTATCCGGACTGTAATATTAGCTTGTATTATCACTGCTAATCACTACAGAAAAACAGACAGGGGGCTGGGCGCGGTGGCTCATGCCTGTAATCGCAGCACTTTGGGAGGCTGAGGCAGTGGATTACCTGAGGTAAGGAGTTTACGACCAGCCAGACCAAAATGGTGAAACCCCGTCTCTACTAAAAATACAAAACTTAGCCGGGCGTCATGGTGCGTGCCTGTAGTCCCAGCTACTTGGGAGGCTGAGACAGGAGAACTGCTCGAACCTGGGAGGTGGAGGTTGCAGTAAGCCAAGATTGCACCACTGCACTCCAGCCTGGGCGACACAGCAAGACTCCATCTCAAAAAAAAAAAAAGAAAAAAGAAAAGAAAAACAGACGGGTAACAAAAGTAATTTTAAAAGACAGAGAGTGAATTGTCACGGTAGCTGTCTCTGGCTTGTATTCTTGTATTTAAAGGACTAAGAACTCAGTGCCACCCCCAGCCCAGGCAGTCCTTGGAGGAGCATCAGGTATCTGAAGCCACCGTGCTGCCTGGGCCCTGGGCGCTTTGCACGTAGCTCTCCTGGTTTTCACTATTTTGCACTTAGCTCCTGGTTTTCACCCAAGTCCAGCCCCTGTAAGCCTGTCTGAATACGACCCACTAGTGCCCCGACATTACCTTAAGTGGAAAATAAGTATTTTTGCAAAGAGGACAGAGTAAGCTTGGCAGAAATGTGAAAACCAAATCATCAGAAACTTCGTCATTCCAGAAAATGCGTCTCTCAGCCCTGGCGGCTCTAACAGACCAGCCTCATTTTGAGAAGGTGGCAAAACCAACATCCCTGTCAAAGTGGACTTTGCCTCCTGCCTTCCACAGATGTGTACCCAGAGCTGGCTGGACCAGCTGTCCCTGGTGAGCTCCTAGGAAACCTGTTTCTACCTTGTGGCAGGTAGGGGGAGGAAGGGCGGGCAAGCACTTATTTGCTCTGGGTGCCAAAGCCCAGGACGGAAAATGACAGCCGGGTGGAAAAGGGGCTGCCAGAAGCCACCATGAGCCTCTGGGCGTGAACCTGCCCTTGAGGCCCCTTCACATGCCTGCGCACTGGCTCTGCCCACAAGAACAGTCAGACTCAAGGAAACAGGTTAAACTTGGACCCCTGACCAGGTCACTTGGCCATATTTTTGGTAGCTGGGTTGCCTCAACCTGACAGACCACCATTCAGAAAGTACAGTCCACAACAAGAATGGAGAGCCTGGGATCAGGAAGAAAAGCAGCCGGTGGGGGTGGGGAAGGAGAGGGGCCAGGAGCAGAAACTACTGGCTGGCGGGGTCACAGGGGTTCGTTACCCTATCCTCCCTACTTTCACAGATACTCATACTTTCCATAATAGTGTTTAAAAACTAGGAATGAAAGCACAGCCTGGGACCCAGTTCCAGCTTCCACTGCCACTGCCAGGACTGGTGAAGTCCGACTGTACTCCATACCCTCACACCCTAAGGCGGAAAAGCATTTTTTTGTGGAAATCAGAAATCAGTGTTCAGTTACCAGAGGAGTCCCTCCTCATGAGGTCACAGCTTGATGTATATCCACAAACAACATACCCATGTCACATGTCACCAGATGCAGGACACTGCCAGCCCCCCAGAGGCTCCTTGTGGCCCTCCCAGCCACCGTCTACCCCACGGGGACCCACTAGCTTGGCTTCTCGCAGCCTAGTGAATTCTGCCTGCTTTTGAACTTTACATAATAAGGATCATACAGCACGTACTGTCTCTGCAAGTCCTGCAGGATTTTACAACCCCAAATATTATAACATGTTTTCTACTTCCTGGTAGGAGCCAACTCCCTGAGGCCAGCCTGCTGTAATCCTGAGAAAATGTTTGTCCTGCTAAATAAACAGCCGCGCTCTCCATGGCAACGGTTGGGTAACTGAGGAAAATGTGACCGCAGCCGTCCAAATATGGAGGGAAGGAGGTGCACCAGGGAGGCATTGTCTTGGCCTCACCAGGACACCTTTAATGCTCTCCATTCAGACTTTTAAATCCTTACATTTTTAGAACTACAAGACTTCACAGCAATAAGAAAGGCAAAAGTGTCAGCCTCCTAGCTCCAGTGGTCAGGGGCTGAGCTACTCTGAATTGCGGGAAGCTGAGACATCTGCTCCTCCTGTACCTGGTTTCTTAAAGGGCAGATTCTGATTCCTCTATGTCACCCCAGGAAGAGCATGAGGAACCCTTCGAGGCCGGTGAGGGTTCAGCACAGCAGCCCACTCTGTCTTGGGAACTACCAGCCTCTGAAAACCAAGTGGCCTTGACTCCTGTCACCCGTCACTGCTGTTCATTTACTGCTTCTAATTTGCTCTAGACTTGGAAATATGGTAACAAACTTGTTACAAATGTGTACACGATAAGCATAATGAGTTGAAAGGAGGGCCTGGTCCCTAGGGGAGAGTGCGCAGGCTTGGGGGGGGGCCCATCAGAGGCCCCCTCTAGACTGTCTGATTCTCCCTTGGTTCTGAAGGTTGGCCAGCTTTCCAGAAGTGTGGGGACAGTCTCTGCCAAGCTTATGGAATTGTGTGTTTCTGGCTCACTCTGCCAGAGTAGTTTTCAAAAGGTAAAAGCACACCCAGAGCCTGTCTTTCTTCTGACTAAACGCCAAGTAGCCCTGCCAGCTGTTCAATGACCTGACAGAGTCATGGTTTGCTGAGTCCTGGTGAAGTTACCTCATGGCTTAAAAACAGCAGTGTGGCGAGCACTATTTTTGAGAAAGTTCGGTGTGTGTGAGAAGTAGTGCACAGGAGAGGAATCTCTCCTTTCTCCTTGTAAGTACTGCAGATGTGACTCACGGGGAACACTACCTGGCCCAAAGGCAAGAGCGTATCAGAAGCCTCTGTCTCCCGCGAGAAACCTGGGAAAAATCAACTGTAGGGTAACAGAAAACCAAAAACCTGGGAATTAAATTAGACCTCTGAGACTGCCCAATCTGAGTCCCTCCGAACAAATGAAACTGAGGCCCAGACTGGGAGCCAAGGCTCTCAGCAGCAGCCAGCTGGCTGACGCAGGGCTCCCCCTTCCCACCTGGCACTCCAGTCTCCACAGAAAGCCAGGGCTGCGTTAGTTCTATACCAATGAATCACACCAAGGCGACAGTGACAGATAACTGCAAACACCCACGGTACCATCCCCGCGCTGGCACACCACACAGCTTCCACTTAAAAAAAACAACGGAGTCCCTTTCTTCATTATAGTCATACAGCTCACAAAACTCAATTCACCTTGTATTTTAAAACTCAATTTCCAAATAAAGCCTTCAGGTAGAGTCCTGTTTTCTTCTCAGGCACACCCAGTCTGGGACCAGAAGCCCCAGGTCGGGACAGAAGTTGACATCTCCCCTCGGAAGCCAAGAAGTCTAGTGGTCCTGCTGTGCCATATAAAAGTGAGAGGGGTCCGTGTGGGGCTCTGGCCATGGTGTGGGGTTCTTAACACATTTCCCGGACTTAAGGCCCCTCCTCCCAAATTACAGCCCAGCCAGGATTCAGCACCCAAGTTGAGGCCTTCACTGAACCTCTGAAGCTCATCCTGCCCCAGGGCGATGGGAAGATCCTGCAGACAGCCTGGGCCTAGGCCTCAGTTTGCTCATCTGTCAGGCTGAGGGGTTACTCCGGGTGATTTTCAGGGTGCCTTCTGGCTCTGTTGTTCTGTATGAATCAGCTTTCCAAACGGGTTCCTTCTGTGTAGGTTACAGAAACCCTGGCAACCAACTCGTCATCCCTTACCCTGGCCTTCCTGAAGGGGGAAGCAGGCCACCTCCCACCTCCTGGTCTATGTCTGGGACTTGGCAGCCAAAGTACATCCCAGAAGGTAGGTGCGACTGCTGCACCAAAGAGTGGACACCCCCATTCCCTTCTATCCAGTCCGGGGAGAGGGAATTAATACAGGGCGGTCCAGGGGAGGCAAAGGGGCGAACATCCCTGCCCTCAGGTTCCCAGGCCTGGCTTGGCACAGGGACTTCCTTGTCCCTCTGATCACCCATTCCAGGAGACCCGTGGGTGTCCAGGAAAAGCTCCTAGATCAGCGCCCTTCCACGGCCCTTCCCCAGCCCAGGACTTGGCCCTGTGGCCTCAGAGGAGGCAGTCAGCTCTCCGAGGGGCCTCCAGATCCCAGGGCCGGCTGCGCTGACACCTGATTTCCTTGGCCTTCCCCACGGGAGGGGAGGGAGGGTTCCCAAAAGAGAATCGCCCACGGAACCGCAGCCCACGCGCAGTCACTCAGCAACTCGGTGCCCTACACACGCTGCCTCACCTTTCGGACCTCAGGCTCCTGAGCTGCGAAACCGGGGTTCGAGTCCCCAACCCGCGGTGTCAGCGCAATTCAAACGAGCGCACCCTGCGCGCAGCTCGGCCGCCCTCCACCTGAGACAGGGCCAACGGCACACGCCCCCACGCCGGCGCCGTTTCGAGCAGAGGAGTCCAGCGGCCCAGGGAACTCCCGGCGGCGCCGGGACCCCGACCTGCCCGAGGCCAATGCGCCGGCGGCGGTTACGTAAGCCGCAGCGGGGCCGCGCCGCGCCACTTACCGCCCGGCCGCGTTCGCGTCGGCCCCTCCGCCGGTCCCTCCGCCGACTCGTGGCTCTGTCCGTCCGGCCCCGCGCCCGCTGCCGCCGCCGCCGCCACCGCCCACAGCTGCACGTAGCCCCTCAGCGCCGCCGCCTCCGCCGCGGCCGAGTCGCCACTGTCACATAGTGGAAAACGTGACCGCGCGCGCCGCGCCCGCCCCCGGCGTCCGCCATTGGCCGCGACACCGTCTCATCTGCATACACGAGGGGCGGGGTCTGCTAGCGCCGCGCGCCCATTGGTGGCGGTGCCCGTCGCTCTTTTTACATAAGACGCACATGGAACTCCATGTTCACCTCGTCGGTTCTTCAATGGAGACGCGGCGCGTTCGTGCCCCCCGTCGTCCTCCCTAGTGGTCTCATCCACTTCCGGCGTCGGCGCCTTCCATTCACGACGCCCTCGAGTCCGCCAGCTCCGGGAGCGCGGAGTGGCGCGTACCATTGCGGGCGGGGGAGCTGGGCGCGGGGCTCCTGTACACCTCCGGCCGGCCTGGCCGACCTGGCGCCCCGAAGCCCGACCAGGGAAACTTCCACCTCCGGCCACCGGCCAGAGGCGCGCCCCCAGCGGCCAGGGCCGCGGGAAAGTCTGCGCGGCATGCTTCATTCACACATTCATTCATTTACTCATTCACTCATTCATCGCCGGGTCCCGGAGCAGCCTAGGAGAAGGTGGCTGCACCGCCCTGCAGCGGCTGCTGGGGCACGCCCACCGGGCCTCAGAGGTGCCTGTGGTCCACACTTGTCCCGGCAGTTACCACGTGTTACAATTTTTGGTTCAGGAAATAGAGTCACTGTTACTCTGGGGAGGTACAAAAGAAAGAAATAATGTTGTCCCTGCCCCCAAGCGCATCACTAGGGAGAAAGGACTGTCTCATAAAAAGGAAACTTAATCAAATGCTAAATTGGGCGATGTGGGCTATAAATTAACCAGAGCTATCCCCACAGGCTCCGTGAGAAAGGCAGCACTTCCAGGGCGGGTAGGATGGGCCCTGAGAAAGGGACACCTTAGGAAGGCGCAAGCGGTAGAGACGGAGAAGCCCGTGGTGGGAGGTTGTCCTGGGAGCCAGTGCGGGAGCGTGCATCACCTTGTCTGAGGGTTTGCTGTTTCAGTAAGCGTTGTTTGGGGCATGATGAGCCTCTAAACTTCCATTTAAAGTGTCAGGAGAGAGAGTACAATTTCCCCTGGTTTGGGTAGAAACCTGAGACTTACAGGACAGGAAGGAGCTTGCAGGCTCCCATGCAGCAGACTCTGAAAGTGCAGGCTCTCATGGGGAAGGCGAGATTGTCCAGGAAGCTGGATCCCGCAGTATCTCTCTTTACTCTTCTTGTTCTTCTTTACCTGGACTCGCCTGGGGACCAGGGATGGGACAGAAGGAAAAGTTATTAACCCACATCAGGAATTCCTGAGTGTGATAGCACTTTCCCTTCCACTTGACAAGGTGTGTGTGCAACTTCTCAGATGCAAACCAGGGCAAATACCAAGTTCATCAGGGCAGCCCTTCCCACAGAAGCCCAGGGAGGCCTGCAGGCTGTTCACACACTGTCAGCTGGCCCCTCCTCCTGTTCCTCTGACATTGACATCTCAACACACTCCCCGCCCCCTCTCTCTAACACAGACACACACAAATGCCAAGCAAACCGAGGCCCGGTTGCGCCCTGCACACACCCAAAGGCTCTTTTGTTTCTTCCCTCCCATTGACGTCAATAGGGAGCTCCATTGTTCTGGAAACAAGAGTAAACAGCTCATCCGCACCTTACTGAGATTCTTCTTCAGGCTTTTGCTGGGTCTTGCTCCATATTCAGCCTGCTACCTGATGTCACATTTCCTCCCTAAATGTAGCCTTTTTTTATTTCCACGAATAAATCTGGTAGAAAGACACTGAAATCAATTCTTTTAGAAATTATCAAGTGCTTTGGGCTCTAGGACTCTTCAGAATCTCATCTATTTTCAGTTATTCACAGCCAGTTTCCTCTTTCCTATTATTGGAAATTTTTGTACACTCCACAAATACTCGTTGACACCTGAGAATTGAGGGGCATGCAAAAATACGTCTCACTGTATCCCTGCTTGTAAGGAGTTTGTGATGCAGAACGGGGGAGGAGGCAGATTCAGAGGCAATTTTGTCTAAGATGTGGTGTAGGTCCTGAGGGAATAGGACAGCGATGGGCAGATGCCTCCATCCCAGCTGCAACAGAGGACAGCGCTCAGGGGATGAGCTCCTACAATCAGGCCAAGTGCATGGATACCATTCTTGCTGAACCAAGATGGTGACAGAGAGGGAGAGAGGAGGAGAGAGAGAGAGAGAGAGAGCACAAATTAATTTGGGCAGTCAGATTGGAGAAGGAAGGGGGATGAACCCTTTCCTAGCCAGCCCACACTGGCCAGCTGTCACCTCCAGCACAGAGCTCAGAACTCTTGGATAGGAGAATTGCTGTTGGCACTGTGGGAGGCAGGCTGGCTAGGAGAAAACTAGTCCTTTATTTGGGGGTGGAGGTGAGGTGGTAAGCCAGGGTCCCCAGCTACCTTGGGAATGCTGCCAGTGGGAGGAGCTGGCCTCCCAGCTAAAGGCTGCTTGGCCCCTGCCCCACCCACTCCCACCAGCCTGTTTCCACCAGTAAGCCTGGCCCAAGTTGGCCCTGCCCATCTATGTCTGGGCCTGCCTGTAGGGCTTCTCTGCACCCAGTCCTCCATGCCCTTGCCAGTCCACTCACTGGCCCTCTCATTTGCTCAAGCACCCAGCCAATTGTTTACTGAGCAACTACTGTGTACCAGGCACTGTGCTGGTCACTGCTTCCTCTCACTGTGGGTGGCATGGTTTGTGGGTTGGCCAGCTGGAGGGTCAAAGAACAGGCGGCTAGGAAGAGAATTCCCTCTGTAAATGGAGGAGGTGGTGGCCAGCAAAGTCCTCTCTAAAGAGATGGAGGGGACACTGTCAAGCTTTCTGGCCCTCTAGTGCTGGATCTCCTTTCTTGGGTTTAGGGACATTGGAGATGGTAATGCCCAACCCTTACTCTCCAGCCTCCCTTGAACCCAGCGCTGACCTACAGCTGACCCCAGCTTAGCATGGTGGCAGCTCCTGGCAGGGAGACCCGGCTCACAGAGGTGACCTCAAGGGCGTGGGCACCTGTGTCCAGGGTCTCAGGGTGAGACAAGGACTACTTGCCTCTAGTGACCCGAGAGCAGGTGCCTGTCCCTGGACATGAGGTGGTTTGTGGACCAATATAAAGAAGTATCTTCTATCTCTTTGGGAGGCCGAGGTGGGAGGATTTCTTGAACCCAGGAGTTTGAGAACAGCCTGGGCAACATAGTGAGACCCTGTCTCTACAAAAAATAAGAAAGCCAGGCATGATGGCATGCTCCTGTGGTCCCAGCCACTTGGGAGGCTGAGGCAGGAGGATCCCTTGAGCCCAGGAGTTTGAGGTTGCAGTGAACCGTGATTGCGTCACTGCACTCCAGCCTGGGCAACAGAGCAAGAGTGAGACCCTGTCTTTTAAAAAAAAGAAGAAGGCATCTTTATTATGCTAGCTACCTACTGAGAAGGCTTTTTGATTTTTAAACTAAATATAGATCCAGGGAGGCTGTTCTTTGTTTGGTGGAGACATGTGGGTGTGGTGTGCTCATATGTCTTCCCCAGGGAAGTCACAAGATTGAGCCATCCACGATGGATGTGTAGTCCCCATCTTTCTTCGCCTTGCCCTGGAGAAGAGCCTGGGGAAAGGAGCTTGCTTGGAGCCTGGAACGTTAGCATCCTTGTCCCAATGACTCCTTTGCAAAGGATGCCCTAGAGATCACAGGGCTGGTGGCACAAGCTAAGACCTGCATTTGATGTGGGATAGAATGGTGAGAGTGGGCATCCTTGCCCCGTTCCACCCTGGGGGAGGAAGTGTTCAGTATTTCACCACCAGGTATGATGAGCCTAGATGTTTGTTTTTTTATGGATGTCCATTGCCATATGTTCTAATTTGCTAAGACTTTTATTTGTTTTTCTTTCTTTCTCTTTTTTATAGATGTCCATTGCCATATATTCTAATTTGCTAAGATTTTTATTTGTTTTTCTTTTCCTTTTTTTTTTTTCTTTTTTAAGATGGAGTCTCACTCTTTCACCCAGACTGGAGTGCAGTGGCATGATCTCAGCTCACTGTAATCTCTGCCTCCCGGGTTCAAGCTATTCTCTTGCCTCAGCCTCCTGAGTAGGTTGGATTACAGGCGCGCGTCACTATGCCCAGCTTTTTTGTGTGTGTTTTTAGCAGAGACAGGGTTTCACCATGTTGGTCAGGCTGGTCTCGAACTCCTGACCTCATGATCCACCCGCCTCAGCCTCCCAAAGTGCTGGGATTACAGGCATGAGACACCACTCCCAGCCTTGTTTTGCTTTTTTTTTTCCCCCCCAATCATACATAGGTGCAGTGGGCTTTTAATCCATGACAATAATTATTACTTCAAAAATACCTCTCCCAAATACATCTAATCTCTTTTTTTTTTTTTTGCAGATCTGCAAATAATTTAAATTGCCATAGCTTTGTCTCTGCTATACAATACTCTGTATAGATGTGTTTACTTTATTATTGTATCCTAAGACAAAAAATATAAATGAATAAAATAATTTGTACCTGAAGATTCTGTCTTTTTAATACTATACATGTCCTCTTTATTGCTACAGAATTCAGTGATTAAGTGTGTACCCAACTGACTTCTCTTATTATCAGTTTTGCAAATAAAAGGCCTGCTTTTAACCAAAGCCAAGAAACAATTTGCTATCATGTCACTTGAAAAAGGATTAAAACTTCAAACTTTCTGGTCATTAAGGCCATTAAGAAAAACCAAGGATTTGGGAGGCTGAGGCAGGCAGATCACCTGAGGTCAGGAGTTCGAGACCAGTCTGGCCAACATGGTGAAATTCCATCTCTACTAAAAATACAAAAATT